CTGCAAGGCTGTCAGCATCCGACTCGCCCTGGACACTCTGGTACAGAGCAGAGTCCACAGGCAGTACTAGGGGTTGGGGATGTTGGGTGTTGAAGAAGTTTACGTGTGGAATGTAGCAGGGACGTTCGAGGTTGGTCATGGATCCGGCGTTGACCATTGGAGAACGCCAAATTGGATGGCCGTTGACCAGGAGGGAGGGGTGACTTCGCCGCAGATCAACTTGGATTACACCATTCACGGTGTGCACGGAAACCTAAAAATTGCAGCCGAATCGATAAACCGTTTTGCTTTTGATGTAAAACGTTATTAATGAGAATAATAGTAGGGGACACGAAAGTAAACTTTCATGGGTTAACCGCAGTACCACGCCAAAGTTCATTATAAAGGACCCTTGAAAGTTCTTGTTTACCGGGCTAATGTACAAGATTCAAGCAAGCACAACAAAGTGATTATTTTCGAAATTGGTGGTTCCTTTTCAGTAAGCCCCAGAATAAATAGGAAAATGAAAAGGCGTTTCCACGAAGTCGTCTTGCCTCGGAGGACACAAGCCTCTATTAGTCAGGTGCTGCGTTAATTCACGATTTACCAAGGGTTAAAAACATCAAATAGATGTGGCAGAAGGGTTGTTGAGTACCGGATCAATTTGTTTATTGTCCTGAGCTTTCAGGCTCTTGCGGGAGTCCATCGTCAAAGATAAAAGGGTCCACGGAAAACAAGTAACAATTGAGGGGGGCAGGAGCCAATCGGTTTCGGATCTCAACCCAGTGAGCCGATGTATCGAGCTGGCGCCCGCATACAACGTCCTCTGCAGGTATATCCGCATGGTCGACACTGGCGATTAATAAGTTCCCTTCTTCCTCCTCCCCTATCAGTCACTTAACATACCGACTCGGATGGTGCGTGCATATTAGTGGCCCTGCACTGGTTCACCAGTTCCTCTGCAACGGAGATACAAGTGACCGACCGGCGGATGCGTGGTGAGCATGCGCGATGGCAATGAAGGCAGGATAGGGTAGAGGTGGTAGACTCAGTTGAGTTACCTAGGCCACTACTGGTGATGGCGCCAGTGATTAAGGGGTTGTTGGTACTGGAGATGAGAGTTTTCGGGTGTGCACGGCGTGTCGGTATTGCGCTGCGCATGTGTCCGAGAAGGCCCATACAGTGAGCGTGGACCCGGGACTCGAGGCGTTGGTGCATCGGTGGATAATTTAAATACTACCGGGTAGACACGACTTGGTTTATTTTAATAGTTTAAAAGGACATCTGTATGCAAACCTCGGCAGGTCAATCTGGAGCAGTCAAAGTTGGACACGGTGGAAAAGTGCTATTACCAATTTTTTTAAAAGCTTACTTACCGGGTTTTGAAGGCCACCCGAATTTATTTGTGATTGGTGATCTGGCGGGGGCATTTGACTGGCTTGTGGGGAGACGGGACTTGCATAGCTCAAACTGTGGCCTCGCGGCGGTGATGAGTGAGGCGAAAAATTTTCCAAGAGTCCCTCTTGGACGGAAGACGCCTGCATTGGATCGTACTGCTTTCGATCCACTTCGACAATTGTTCGGGGAGATTTTGATTTGGCACGGAAAAGCTTAGACGCAATGGAAGCGAAAAGGTTCCCTCTAGTCGTCGACCTCGCCCTACCAGAACTGGTTGTGCTCTCTGAGCCTGTTTGCTGACATGTTTTGGAGTTGATCGACTGGGAGACATCATTTGCACAGAGGACGAGATCTGTTTTCTGCTCGGTCGATTGAGAAACCGGTCTTTGTTGACTGAAGTCGCGGATTCCCCTTTCTGATTCTGCAAAAGGTCGGTAAGGTGTCAGTTTATTTACCAATAACACCTACTTAATGTGTATCAGTAACCAAGACGAAATGTACCTGGATTATTGATTGTTGAGTAGTTGGCATCCACTGATTGGCCTCCAGCAGCGGAACTGATGGTCAAACCTGGAAGATGGAATCGGGTCTTCAGCTTGGGGCTCTGCAGGTCCACTGCTCTTCGAAGCTTCCGCTTTTGCATATAGGAGACGGAGAAACAGGCGATGCCCACCAGAATTCCCAGGAAACAACAGAGGAAGACGAGCACTAGTACGAGAACCGTGCTGCCCCTGTATGCATCTTCGGGCGGACGAGCGTAGGGTAATCTAGAGTCCACTGGCGCAGGCTCATAGAGATCGCCACCACCACCTCCACCATCGATATCACCTGCGTTCATTTTGTCTGAATTTGATCTTTTATCCGACAGGAAATCCGCTTTAAAAAGAAAATGTTCAAGCTCAATGATGGAACGAGGAGATGCGGCCCTTAACAATTCGGGTGCCAAATTTATACGTTCTGGCTAAGCATATTTTGGGGTTGAAGATGTTGCAATAATTGAGATGAGTGGAGGGCTGTCCCCAACTCGTTAGTCATCTCTTCGAGAGTATGTGAACAAATGCAGACAGTTAGTTAGGTACATCCTCCTAAAGAACATTTATTAACGCGATTCTTTTCATGCCACTCGTAGGTGTGATGAAGCATCAAGTGCAACTCACTAAAACATATTGTTAAATAGTACAGTGTATTCGTCACTGTTAC